CCAGACCTGATATTGCTTATGTAGTAAGTCTGTTAAGTCGTTTTACCAGTAATCCAAATGAGAATCATTGGAAAGCTATGGTAAGAGTTTTGGGATACTTGAAGTATACTCAAAATTATGCTTTGCATTACGAGAAATACCCCGCAATTATAGAAGGGTATTGTGATGCAAATTGGATCACCGGCTTTAACGACACTAGATCCACAAGTGGATATGTGTTCACTCTTGGCGGAGGTGCTGTGTCTTGGAAATCGTCCAAATAGACTTGCATCGCAAGGTCAACCATGGAAGCAGAATTTATTGCTTTAGATAAGGCCGGTGAAGAAGCCGAATGGCTTCGTAACTTTATTGAGGATGTTCCTAATTGGCCAAAACCGGTACCATCTGTATGCATACATAGTGATAGCCAAGCAGCTATTGGAAGGGCCAAGAACGTCATGTATAACGGTAAGTCTAGACACATACGTCGTAGACATGATACCGTAAGACAACTACTCTCGAATGGAATTATTACAATTGACTATGTTAAGTCTAAAGAGAACATATCGGATCCGTTAACCAAAGGGATTCCTAGAGAGTTGGTTAAAAATTTGTCGAAAGGAATGGGTTTAAGGCCTATCAATTGTTGAGCATTGCGGTAACTCTACCTAGAAGAGTGGAGATCCCATGAACTAGGTTCAAAGAGACAATTAAGTGATGGTCGACTGTTTAAACACTGTGGAGTTTTTAAACTCATACTCATTCCTAAGACAAGACAATGTATTTATGAGGGTAAACGCTTAGGCTTTTAATGGTTTCTTAATCTGTTGTGCTCAGATGATGTATAGTGAGTTACATCACAAGAAATCACCTATGTGAGTGTGAAGTGAGGGCCGCTTCTATGAGAATTTTTCAAAGGCCGATTCTCTAAAACACTCGCAGAACCAGGCAGGTGTCCCACGGCCAAAATGGGCGCAACAAAGGACCAACAATGCTAGAGAAGCAATTGTCTGACTCATATTGTCTAGGTATACACTAAAGGTTGACGGTTCAAGTCGACCTAGACCACCGATTGACCGAGTATATCCGATAGGTTTTCACTAGAGAAGGTTCAAAGGTAACTCCACCTATCTCGATGCAGTTGTTTCTCGTTGAGGAAATTACACTTTGCATTTATTTTCTTATGCATTTTGTCATAATGATTTGACTTCTTATCCATGTGGGGGATTATTGGAATTAATGAACAATGATCTATTAGTTATGAATAAGAAGTGGGTTAATAAAGGAAAGAGAAGAGGGAAGTTGAAGAGGTGTGTGGGTTTTTAACAAAGTCCCACATTGGACAAATAGTAGGAACGATCATCGGTTGTGTCTGCTCCCCGAACCGGTCACCGGTTGTACCTGTTCGTCGGAACGGTCACCGGTCGTACCCTTTCGCCACCGTCAGACACGGCGGTTCGCCGCCGGCGACTGTTCATCGTGACCGGTCAGTGTCTATAAATAGACACTGCCACCTTCAGAGATTTATCCGATTTTTCTGCACTGGAACTTTGCTGGAATTTGTCTTATCTTCCGGTTTGCATACTTTTGTTCATCCTCCGGTGTAGTTTCCTCTGATAATTGTTGTGTTCGTTTGGGCTGTTGATTGGTAATGCCACCATTCTTCAGACGAAATCCGTTCTATCCTGGGAGACAAGTGTCCATCAACCTTAGGCATCAGTGAGGGGGCAAATTGTCTTAAGGAGACACGTTCTGTGGGCTTCGGATTTAATTCCTAATTTTGCATTCATTCTTCATCTGTATGTTCCATACTACTGACAACAAGTAAGTCTGTTTTTTAATTTTTATAATTGCACAGTGATAATTCTGATCATCTACCTCCTCTGCTTTATACATGGGTTCAAACATCTTAGTGATTTAATATCACCCACTGTCTTCAATAACATTAATATGAATGATTAGCTTCCTGAACCAGAGCTCTTATTTCATATCCTAAGCAGTGTTTTATTTTTCTAGGACATCATACACTAATGTTCTCAAGGACTTCTTTGAGAAAAAACTGCTTATAAGTCAAAATATACTTGCTACTGAGGAGAGATATGAGAAGATCCTAGACATGATTCCTGATGAATATACATTTTTCTTCCTGCCCTCCTTCATATGAACCTTGTTATGGCATTTTCCTGTTTATTATCTTATACAATGCACAAGTTGCTTATGAAGCTATTGCTACTCAACTTAGGAGTGTTTGGTAGGAGGAAAAAAAAAACATTGCCCACGAGGGTCAGGTGAGGAAAATAATTTAGCCATGTTTGGTAGGAGTAAAGTAAAAATGTGGATGACAAAAATTTTTGCCGGGAAATATCTTTTGCACATAATATCATTATAAAACATTGTCATCCAAGGTTTGGTAAAAAAGTGGGGTGAGAAAAATAATTTGACATTAATGATAAATTAAAAAATTTAACATTTTATATGAATTTTTTATTTTTGTGGATCCGATGGCTATAATTTATTATATATATATATATATATATATATAATTTAATTAATAAAAATTATATATATATATATAATTAAATTAATAAATTTTTTATGTAAATTGAATTTATAATATATAATTGAATTTTGTTTAATTGAGTTGTTAGAGAGATATAATTAATAAAATTATAAATGGGTCTTCACTTAACCACTTAAATTTTTAGGTTAAAAGAATTCATTATATGATATCAAAATTTCTATGACCAACTCACCATAAGGTAGAATAAAAAAATGGGTCATTGACGGACATTCATTTAATAATTTAAATTTGTAGATTAAATTAATTGCTTTACAGGGGTATTTTTCTTTTTAGTTTTTTAAGATTTTTAAATTGTTAAACAAAATTTGATATGTGATATTAAAAGTAATTTTATTTATATATTGTGTTTACATTTTTATTTGAAATAATTAGATACCTGCAAATATCCACTTATCCATGAAAATTTTGTGACGAGAATGAGGTGAAGTGAAGGGTGCATTACCTGCCCCGTTACCATTTTTAGCCAAATGTGAAGCAAAATATCGTTAATCATATCTAAGTTCATCACACTGAAAAACAAAGTTGTAATAATGCACCTGCTAAAATATGGAATACTAATTAACCAATATTCAAACCAAATCAACCCCTTATTTATGTACAATTAATCAGAATGTTATGAATTATTTATTTAATTAACTTCATCAATTATAAAAACTAAAATAAAAATATATGCAATTAAGTCATATTTGGGGTTTACATTACTATAATTATGGTAATATCGTACTATTTTTTTAGTATGTTACTTTCAATATAAATTTTGTAATTTGTTTTTTACAAAAATTATGTACTTTCTCATAACGCGCATTTAATTTTTCTTTTGTAAAATTCTAAACGACAATTTGGATAGAATAGAAGTCTGTCTTTTATAACTTAAGAAAGGTTATACTTACGATTTATTTTTGTTTATAATCATATCTTAACCATTGATTTTCGTCAAGGTTATTATTTTTAGGGTTTACTTTTTCTGCAGTTAATGCAGATAAGTTATATGCAGTAAGCCTAATACGACGTCGTTTTGGGGCAAAAATCATAGTGTTTTTGTAATTTTAATTTATTTCAGGATTATTATAGTCTTTATAATTATAATTATTTAAATTTTCAATCCCAAAATGACGTTACTTTGGGAGTAAATGCAGATAACTTATCTGCAGTAACTGCAGAAATGTTTTTCTCTTGTTTTTATAAATCAAACTCATTAATTAATTATTAATTCACAATAATTGATAACCGTTGATTAACAGAAATCAACGGTTAAGTTATGATTGTAAGAGATTAAGAAGTTGTAAACGAAAACACGTTATAGGTATAACCTTTCTCTTATAACTTTTGTTCAAATTATAATTTTGATAATCCAAATAAAAATCAAGGATATTATTATTATTTTATTTTTTAAGTTAACCTATTCCTAATTACTTTTTTGAGCTGGCTATAAGATTAATTTGAAGTAAATGATGAGTCAGGATGAAAATACTTAAACCTCTCCTAAAAGTGATATATAAGATGAAATCCATACATTTTTCTTTCCATTTATTTAGCTTCCTTCGTAGCTGCCATTTGCTGGATGCTATTATTATTAAACTGTCCAATATATGAGCTACAATATGGCAGCTTTTGGCCTATGGTGATCGATGATAAAAACGAACCTATTCCATGAGCTCAATTGCCACCATTGCTCCTTGCACATAATCTTGTACTGAGTACTAACCGTAACTTATCAATTGTGGTAATCTTCGATAACACGAACGTCATCCTCCATTAGTAGATTTCATGCGTAATGAGGAGAGTTCATGGCAGGGACCGTTACAAATAGGTTAAATTAAACTAAATAAATCAAATGAGTTCGATTGTCTCAACCAAAAACCTCAATAGAATTTTCTCAAAGTAATTCAAGTCCCAGTACTCAATCCATGTCTATGCACGTTAGGGAATGACGAAATTATACTAATTATAATAAGTAATTTCGACATCATATCTTATCTCAACACAAAATCTTAAACCATTCGAGTTATGAGTTTTTTTTTATACGAACTTCACTTGACTCATTGCAAATTAACGTGAAATTTTATCGCATTTGAATATCTCTAATACTAAATAATTAATTACAAATCATTAAGCTTGGTAAGCAAATCATATGAAGGGAAATTGTTTTCTCACTATCCAGTTTTTGACATCAAAACTAAACTATATACTGTTCTAAAATCATGATATAGTTACAAAGTAATAAATATGCATTTTCTTTATTTTGAAAGAAAAGTGACTAATTTAGTCAAGCCCCCTTACATTTCTAGTGCCCTCCAGAACCTTCATCAAGCGACCGAAGATAGTGAATTGGCAGCGGAAGAAGCAAATGAATTTAGAAATGTTAAATCCTTAGAATATTGATTTCTGGGCCCAATAAAGATTTGGGCTGAATGGGTGGGTAATATATATGATAGTCAAATTTGGTCGGCAACGGCCCAAAACGAAGAGAGAAAGAAGAAGCAGTGTTGGTGTTTCAGAGAAGAGGGTTTAGCTGAGATCGCAACAAGAAAAGTGATTCATCATTCGTTGATTGGAAGAGAAGAAAAGGGGCGAAGCAGAAATCATCGAGCTATGGATGTGATAAAGACGCAGCAGATATCATGGAGAGCGATAGAGAAGGTGATAGTTCACCCTTTGGTGTTGCTGAGCATAGTCGATAACTACAACAGGGTCGCCAAGGACACTCGCAAGCGCGTCGTCGGCGTCTTGCTTGGTTCCTCTTTCAAAGGCACCGTTGACGTTACCAACAGCTACGCCGGTAACCTCTTTTCTTCTTTTTCAATTTCAATACCTATTATTTCAACCAACACCTCCTCCATTGCTAATCGCTTCTCCTAATCCTTTATTAACAGTTCCTTTTGAAGAAGATGAGAAAGATCCTAGCATCTGGTTTCTTGACCACAATTACCATGAATCGATGTTTTCCATGTTTAAGAGAATCAATGGTATAATATAAGTTGCTGAATATTTTTTTTTTTCTTCTAGTTTTCTTTCAATTGAAAATCAGATCTAATCAAACATGCCTATTTATTTTTCCAGCAAAGGAGCATGTTGTGGGGTGGTATAGCACTGGTCCAAAACTTCGAGAGAATGACCTCGACATTCATGGTTTATTCAATGAGTATGCTTATTAACCCGAAATCCAGAGCAGACTTGTATTTCAATGCTGTGTTTTTTTTACTTTATTTGAGTAATTTGCTATTTATTTATAGCTATGACTGAGATTCCAAAATAGGTTGTTGCCTCTACAGGAGAGAGCCAAAACACAGTTATATGCAAATATTGATTATCGAATAGCTGACTTACTCTGGCATTGTTTAACTCATATAGCATAACTTATGAAGGGTTTTATCCCATACAATGTCAAAATTCTGAGGCATTGCTATACTTCATAGGAAAAAATATATGGATACTGCAAGAGTAGAGGGAGAAATAGAGGAGATAGAAAGTTGAAAGAGAGAGCAAAAATCAACATGACATTACATGATGGATAAATAAGCTAAATACAAATATGTAAGTAAGTACATGCTTGCTGTCTGCTTCTCAACAGTGGATTGACAGAAAGGTCACTGTTTCCACTTTGCATGCAGAAGTTGAATCTAGCTTCTTCTGGCTTGATCCTAATTGGCTAGTGCTTGTGGCTGATTGTGGTACAAAGATGCAGCATTGAGGAGCACATCAGTATTCCCTCGATTACATATAGTACAAAGGGATTTATGAGTTCTACTAGAAAAGAGGCTTAGAAAACATGAAATAACCATAACACTCTCCATAAATCATAGAACAATTAAGACTGGTAATCTGTAAATAAATATAGCTTAAATCTGTATGTGTGTGTGTGTATTATGTCAGCAAGGCATGTACTTATTGCTGTTCTGTAATATTCCAAGCAAGGCTTGTACCTTATTGTGTTTCAGCAATCAGCCTCTTCATGCTTGTGTTTGGCTTTCTCTTGTTAAAATTAATGTTGATAATAATTTGCAAATTGCAATTATGAACATGTACATGACATTTGCTGACAACCTGGAATTAATCATTAGTTATAAACAATGATAGAACAAGAGATTCGACATGTTGCTTTTATCCCTTATCGATCTTTATCTCAATTGATCAAGTTCCAATTTATTGCAGCTATGTTCCAAATCCTGTTTTGGTTATAATTGATGTCGAGCCGAAGGAGTTGGGAATTCCTACAAAAGCTTACTATGCTGTTGAAGAGGTTAAAGAGGTAGAACTGAAGTACCTTTATTATTTTTTTAATTAAAAAATTATACTTCTGATTTTATTGATATTGCATGTTGCAAAAATAATTCTGCTTTTTGTTATGGGAGGAGTTATTGTTCGCTTGAAACCTTATCAGTAGACATAGGAACTGACAGATAGTTTATTCTGAATGCAGAATGCCACTCAGAAGAGCCAAAAGGTCTTTGTACATGTGCAATCAGAAATTGCTGCTCATGAAGTTGAGGAAATAGGTAATGCAGAGCAGCTTCATTTTCTGAAGGGTTTTATTTTTTATTTTATTTTTTGTTTCATTTTTTTTGTAATTAATACTGAATCTTTGAATCTTATCCACATGGTTCAGGGTTATATAAACAGTTTATCCTATGTTTTTAAATTCTTCTTGCCCTTGTGCAGGAGTGGAACACTTGCTTAGAGATGTGAAGGATACAACAATTAGCACCCTTGCGACAGAGGTGCTTTTATTCATACTTCTTGCTATGTATTAATTCTTTTTTTTTTTTGGTTTATTTGTCTTGCTTTTAATACTATCTATTTAGATGAGTATGCTGGATGGACAAATGCTGACGATGTAATTTGTTGTGTAGGTAAGTGCAAAACTAACAGCCTTGAAGGGTTTGGATGCAAGACTTAAAGAGATAAGAAGTTACCTTGATCTTGTCATTGATGGAAAGCTTCCCTTAAACCATGAGATCCTGTATCATCTGCAGGTTGGTTTCCCTATTGTTTCTTAGTAGTTTCTGATTCTTTGACTGTTATCAAATGGTCCAGAAGTTTAGATTGAATTATTTTCTGCTGATCTACGTCACTTAGTGTAATTTCGAACTGAAATTTTAAACCAATCATTTGACATTAATGACCAGAAAAATAATTGCTTGAAAGTATCTGACTTTTGCTTTGTTTAATGTTTTTTATTTTGATAAAAGAAGCTTTCTTTAGTTTTGTTAAGGTGGGTTTTCTTCATTATTGTGTTTCACCATCTCATGTTTTATCGCATTTTGTTAGGATGTATTCAATCTGCTACCAAATCTTAATGTCACTGATCTGATCAAGGCTTTCGCAGGTTAAGAATGTGAATTGACATTAAGTATGATTATTTTGGTTTTCTGCATTGTCCATCCTAGATTGTTGATCCTTGTTCTTGTTGTGCAGTGAAAACGAATGATATGATGCTGGTAATATACCTATCGTCTCTCATTAGAAGTGTAATTGCACTTCACAACTTGATTAACAACAAGGTGAGATACACTATACTGAATCATGCTGGAAGTATTTGTTATTATGCTGCTCGCTGATTTTGATTTTATATTTTGGGGTTTTATACTTTTATTATACTATGGAAGTAACAATTTTAGAAATGGTCAGAGCAAAATTGAAGATAGTTCTCCTTTAGGGTTTCACAATCATTTGTTGAGCTTCAGTCAAGTAATACGGGATTAATTGGTTGGAACTACCTTCAATTAAATCCTAGTATCTAGCCCATTGATAGATAAGCTTGTCAAGTGAAACATGTTGTAAAATCATTACTGTGATTTATGTCTCTTAACATTGGAATTACCATTTCAGATGCTCAACAAAGAACATGAAAGGGCAGAAGACTCTAAATCAGTGACGGTACCAACTACAGCTGGAAGTTAAGGTTTTTGAGAGTGTTGTGATGCTTGGAGCTCCAAGGGCACAGTCATTTAATACAACTTTCCGGTCACTTGCGTTGGTCTTATTGAGCATTCCTGCATGGGTTAGGGAAATACATGTAACATGGCACAATGATCTTTTTACCATAGGATTTTTATTGCTTCCGCTCGTGGCTTTTTTAGTATGTATTTTATTCTTAAATACTCTGCTCATTTTTTGTTTTTGGTTATCTGATAGCTTCATTCACAACCTTTAAAGAGTAACACCCGTTCACTATTATAAACAAATTGACCACGACATCAGAAATTGAACCTTATTACCTGTTGATTCTTTACATCTGCTGGATTGGTAGCTCTAAATATGACTACTTATATAAAATTCACAGACAAATTCAATATTTGAATAAAAAAATTAATCATTTGAATTTGTACTTTGATATAAAATTAACTTCGGAGCTTGTGGAGGTTTTATGTATGTAGTATGGGTTTTATAAGAGTTATGTTGTAGGAAAAGAGATTGTGTAATGTTATAAAGATTCGTTTTGTGTGTCGTAATTTTTTTTTTTTCTTCAAAGAGTTTGGGCTCCACAAAATGTGTGTGTAGGAAAATTTGTTGTGTCATGTTAAATGACAAATGCAAATTACATGTAGTATTTATTCTGGTGCTTACTGCATATAGGTCACTTTTTGTAACATCGACTTGCCGAAGAATGTTCATGTACGGTTGGTTGCTGTTTTTCTGAAATTTAGCATGCTTGTCAGTGATGAAGGGTATTCAAAAGTCACCACTAGGGTTAGCCTAGTGGTGTGGGGTGTGTGTGTTAGGAGTGTGTGTAGTGTAGGGTGTTGTGTTCAATTCCTTGTAACCTAAAAAAAAAAAGGGTATTCAAAAGTCACGCAGATTCGCGACGTGTTTGTTTAAAAAATCAAGGACAGTTTTCGCTGTTTATAAGCTGTGAATCACATGTAATCTGGTGGGGATCCATATGATATCAGGGTGAAGGAGTACGAAGTTATGTCATCTTAACCTGCTTGATGACAACTATGAGTATGGTGTTATTTATATGCTCGATTAACATAATTCCCTACTGTCTTAACTATGCATTCTCATAATGATAATGATGAGGATAACCGAATTTTGAATGTGAATTGAAGTTTGTTATATTCAGTGTGCAATTGTGCATCAGGTATTACCATGTGTATTTGAAGTAATAATAGTGTACAAGCGGATGATCGAAGAGAATAAGTAACTCAACATACAGAGTGTTGGTAATAATAATGCAATAATTGCTTCATCAGTTGCGAGACATGATTGAGCTTCAGATTATTATTTTGATCTGTTGAAAATATTTTCTGCAAGATATCCCAAAGAAAATATAAATACTTCTGAGCAAAATATCTACAGTAGGAACAAGATTTTAAAACATCACCCTCACAAATATTTACTAAGCAGCCATTTAGCTGTCATGAACATGAAATTTCAAACCTCGGATGTATATTTAAGTAAATATATTTAAACAACTTCTACAAGGAGAAAATGAAAACCTTTTAGTTTTACTTTTAACTATTAAAAAAAAGGACATGTATTGTTACATGTACAAGTGTAAAGACTAGGCCTCAGTTGAATTGTGAATTCAACAAAATATGAATCCAATGTCGAACGAAGAGCAAAACCTGAATATACAGTCAATCCTCCTCTGTACCATCGGATAGAACCGATTGCTCAAAATCAGCATCCATAAGAACCCCATCCATGACATGGACAACAATCTCCCTCTTTCTAACGTCTACTATTTCTGATCGAATCCTGTTAACTAGAAGCATTCCATCGATGTCTTTTGAGATGTACAATGGAAACCCAGATAATGAATCATAGGACACAAGCTCACCAAAGCGCACATTAAGTGAAGAAAGTGCACGAGGGACAGTTGAGAATCCCAATATACGAGTGACAATTGCATATGTATCATTGAACTTGTCTGGTTTCAAGCTATCATTCACCCACAGACGCAGATCTCGCTTGAAAGCTTCCTCGGAAGGAACAAAAACAGTAAAAGCAAGATCTTGAGGCAACATATCAACCATCATTTCCCCAAACTTGCCCAACCAGACATCTTGTGGGGAAACTTTTCTGGATCTGTTTATTGGGTAAAACCCCATTTCGCTACTATTGGTTGGAGCCTCTGGAAGCTTGAGAACAGTTCCAATCATAATCAAAAGGCAGCAAACAGACACAAGAATGCTTACAAGAGCGATTGGATGCTTCAAGATCTGACGCTTCCTCATTTTTCACAAAAACCCAGTATCCCACTAACTGAATAGTTGCCGTTCCCAAAATAAAGTTCTCAACTTTTCACGTAGTCACGATCAACAAAACAAAATCTGAGCTTCAAAAGCTAAGACTCAAACTTGAAGCCAAATCTTAAAAAAAAAAAAAAGGTACAATGGCCATTAATAGCCAAATCTTAAAAAAATAAGAATCTGGGACTCAATTGAAGTTAAATAGCCAATTGACAACTTGAGACTCGCTTTCATGTCAAAGAAACAAGTGATTCCTACAAGTTGAACTCTCCATCACCGTCGCCCTTGATAGTGCCTAGCTTTCGGTTTGGTCCGTCTTCCAATGTTTTCGAAATCATCTCTCGATTTGTACAACCCCGATTGTTAAATAATCTAAATTAATAATTTAACCGTCCAATTTACGCTAAATTTTTTTAGGGTATGTTATTTTACCTATCATTTTTTCTGACTAACTTTGTCTACCACTTTTTAATATCGTTAGATCAGAATCCTAATTACATTTTTCATTTCTCTCTTATATTAAGATTCTAATTTAACGGTATTAAAGGGTGGTAGACAGAAAAAATAATAGACAGAATAACTTATTCCATTTTTTTAACATGATTAATTCATAATTAGAAAATATATTTAAATAGAATTATATATAATATTAAGGGAAATTGTTTTCTCATTTAACATGAGATAAAATAATTTTTCTACACAAATATTGAGTGGTGGAACCTATTTATGATTTTTCTCTCTCCTCTCTTCTATATATGTAAATGTAGGGAAATAGTTTTATCTCATGTTAAATGAGATAAACAATTCCCTAATATAAAATATAAACATTAGTTTTTCAATTTAAAAATTAAATTTTTTTAATGTATAATTCTCATTCTTAAGTAATTCAAATTTATCCATATAATTTAAGGGGTTTGTATTCATCATTTAACATGACCACACAAAGTTTCCTACACACATAACATTTTGTGGGACTCACATGTTTTGAAGAAAAAAAAAACTACGGCACGCAAAACGAATTTCTATAACATAACAGAATCATTTTTCCTACAACATAACTCTTATAAAATTCATAATTTAAATACTAATACGATTTTATATAAAATTTTCATTGATATGTAACGTAATAATTAGTCAAACGCATTCATTTTTACATGAATGTAGCAGAAAAACAATATAACTACCGGACACACTTGCATGATTAATGATTGTCCTTATAAACCAACACAAGACTTTTTAGCGCGCTTTGCCAATATTCACACACTTCATGAGAAACTTAGTAGGAGGTTACCTATTCCAAAATTGCTCTAGTCTTGCACGTTTACTATGGAGATCTTAACTTATGCGCTATCGGAAAATATATGCGTCTTGTCCCAAAATTGCTCTAGTCTTAACACGTTTAACTATGGAGTTCTTAACTTATAAGCTATCGAAAAGTATATGTGTCTTGTTAGTATAGATAGTATATATTATTTCCTTTAAATTATCTTTAATTGTACAGTCTCATGCACAGTCTCTGGATCCCTCTCGTTCGGGTGTTGATTCGATTCATATACCCCTCCCGCTGGAAGCCTGTCAAGAGCTGCTCTTTGTTCGTACCTCATCTCTTTTGTACAGACGAATACTCCCCACCCTCGTGAGTGCCTAAGATGTTATATACCCACCAGCTTCCGCTTGATTCGTCCTCGAATCACATCGTACTAGAAGAGAGACCCTACGAGAGGGGTACATGAACCAATCGAATTAACACTCGAACGAGATGAATCAAGAGGCTGTGCACTTATGGGATTGTACAATTAAGGATAACTTATAAAAATTAATATGTATTACCTATACTAACTAAATGCATGTGCTTTTCGATGACTCATAACTTAAAAATTCCATAATTAAGCTGGCCTGAGTTTCTCATGAAGTATCTGTGATAAAAGCATAGTTGTTAAACCCCTAACATAAATATTCATCCCCATAATTAAAATATTAACATATACATGTAAAATTATTATCCTTTTATAATGTCAATATTTATCTTATAATTAATCTGTACTTTCGAGCTCAAATTTTAGATATATAGCTTTGTTAGAAACTTGACAGGAACGATTTTGTTGTCCTATGATATTGTCGACTCAAAACGAATTAATTAAATAATGAATGAACTAAATAATAACATTTATCTTGTAATTTAGATATTAATATAATTTCATGTATAAAATTTATATATCATTACGTAATATAAATATTTATCCTTATAATTTAACTACTTAGAAGGATTAACTTATGTAAACATAAAAACTCTTATAACCATTAGTCAGTACTCATTAAACTTAAACAGTATTAACGGGTAATAATGCGTGTGAGACTTTTTAAATATTTTTTAATATATATTACTCTTTCCCTTTTAAATGATAACATATTTTTGCATGAAAAAAATTTCATTATCATTAGATGCAAATATTTATTAATATTATTATTATATTAAGCTTTAACGTAAAATTTTCATTCCGATCGATGTATATAAATATGAGGAATGATATTCTTACTATCAAAAATTTTCACTACCAATTTACTACATATCTAATCACCATTGGATCAACATTTTCTCTCTCTTCATAAACTTTTTAGTATTCTCTCTCTTTGATCCAATGATGATTAGATTGGTAGTAAGTTGATAGTGAAAAATTTTGGTAGTAAGAATATCCTCCCTCTATAAATATTTACCTTGTGATTTGAATAATTCACTTTCATGTAAAGTTTTCCAATATCCACCAATAATTAATGGTTCAAGTAGTAAGAAATTTGTTTTCCTCAACTAGAGATTTCACGTTCAAGATCGAGAATAGAAAAATGGTATCGGGAGAGTTGTCCTTTGTAATAGATCCAACAGTGCTTGAACTGAATTAATCGGGTTATCGGTGACTCGGTAGATATATAAAAAAAAAGTTTCCAATATGCATATAATTACTCATGATTTAGTTATTAGTATATTTTTATATGAAGTTTTCATTCATATAATTTTAAAACTTATATGTTTTAATATAAAACATTTACCCTAATGTAATCAATATTTATCCCTATTATTTATATATTAATAAAATTGTATTTAACATTTTCTTTTTGATTATACATATATACAAGATCAATTTACACCGTTATAAAAATAAGAAGTCTTACCTAGGGGTGATAAACGAGCCAGGGGCCTTTGACTCGGCTCGTGAAGGCTTGAACTTACATGCCTAATATTGATTGTTGGAACCAGTCTTGGACTTGTATAAAAACTCGTTTAGTAAAAAGGCCTCAGTCTCCAATTCAAAAGCTCGGCCTTGGAGCCTCTCAGGCTGACTTAGTATATTAATTTTTCTATATATTTATATTTTTTATACTATTTGTAATAGCCTTCTCTCTCCTCTCAATCCATTTCACTCCTATTTTATTAGTTAAACAGACTTTTTGAATGATTTTGTTCTATATTATGCTGTTTGGATATACATTGAATTTATGAATATTTATGGAATTACTAGTGTTATTGATTGTATATTCTGTTTGGATAAATTTTTGTTATCTTATTTTTTTTAACAGGCTAAATGAGACTTTTATTTTTTGTAAATAAGGCAGGCCACAGGCCGATAATTATATCCATAACAGGTAACAGGCTTGCAAAAGTCGACACATTTAAACACAGGCTTAACCTTTTAAGATCAAAGCTCGGCTCGGCTCGGCCCGTTAACACCCCTAGACTTACCCCTATCTTTTTTTTTGGTAATCAGTCTTACCCCTATCTCAATCGTTGATTTGCTTGCATGTAATGATTTTAATTAATTAATTATATAATTTGTTGGATGTAAATGAAATCACTATTAAGATGGGTTAAAAAAAAAATTCTACCAGAAATTGACGCATGTTCTCCAACAAAAAAACCGACTAATTATATATATATATATGGGAAAAGTATTTCTACAGCCACTTTAGATAAGGTTATCTACAGCTAGGGTGAAACTGGGCCAGACCGGCCTACGGCTCGGCCTACATCAGGCTAGACCTGACCTAGTATATTTTGTATAATAGGCCGGGCTCAGGCCTTTAAAAAGCCTGTTTAATAAAAAGGCCGTAGGCTCACTTTCAAAAGGCCGAGCCTATAAGCCTGCAGGCCGGCCTATATTGTACTATTTATTTTAAATAAAATAAAATAAAATAGAGTAAGTATGCCTTGAAGAAAAAAAAATATAAATTTAATCAATTGCAATTGTTTATAACTTAATCATATTCGATTATATTTTAATAGAAATCTTACTTTATTTCTTATATAGGAGGAACCAACATCTCAACATGTTAGATTGTGTATATGAATATATTAAAAATAAATTGGCAGAGGTTATACTTATTACAAGCATCATGATGTGTATGTTGGATTCATGTAGTTATTTTAATTTACATAATATGGATTTGTTTGTTAGATCTGATGAAATATATGTTACTTAATTTGAGCATTTTGCTTTTGAAAATGACTTAAATGCATATTGTATTAGTTTTGTTATGATTCATGATTCTGTTTGGACGTTGAAATTATGATTTTTGGTGTAGCAACAGAATTCGAGTACTTTGTAAAGTTGATTCATGGTTCTGCTTGGAAGTTAAAAATTAACAGGCTAACGGGCCAAGCCAGACCATTTGTTTTTTTCATAAACGGGTCAAACCAGGCTAACAGTTAGACTCGTACTAGGCTTGGGCTGGGCCAAATTGAAATTTTTTGACGTAGACTTGGACTTTTCGGGACAAAGCTCGGCCCAGCTCAACCCACTTTCACCCCTATCTACAACCACCCTTTTTAACTATATACTCCTGGGAGAACATACTTATAACATTAAAGTTGATTTCTCTCTCTCTCTCCACGTCAGCAAACAGGTTCTGAAAAGTAACTGAGGAGAGAGAAAAAAAGCAATTTTACTGTTATAACTATGTTCTCCCGGGAGAACATAGTTAAAAATGGTGGTTGTAGATAACCTTATCTAAAGTGGCTGCAGAAATGTTTACTCCTATATATATATATATATATATATATATATATATATATATATATATATATATATATATATATATATGATCTGGATAAAAAATGATAGGCCCATCAAATACCCAAATACATAAGGACAAGACCCAAACCCGTAAAACCTAGGGTAAGGCACGATGGCTTCCATCGCGCATAACA